TTTGATTTATATCACCCCGACGCAAAATTCCATCTTACAATAGTTTATGCGGTACCCGCTGCTATGTACATCAGATTCGAACCGGCCAACCGATCCCGTTAGCTCGGTGGTCGAGTGGTAAGACATCTGCACTAGAAAGCAGGATGTCGTGGGTTCGAGTCCCACCCGAGTGATTTTTTCCAACTTTCACTCGGGAGGTAACACACTGAGTATACAGTGTTTAAAAAACGTCGGTGAAGGGCAAAACCTAATTTGATTTATATCACCCCGACGCAAAAATTCCATCTTATAAAAACAAAACATACAAATTGAAAGTTCGTTATAGGAGAAAAAAAAATCCGCTTTTGAAGAGCATGGAGTATATATGCATCTTTACTAACCGTATAAAAATTGGTTCCAGAGTCGACTCGTCGTAAGAACTCAATAAGAAATGTGATACAGATTTAATGAAATCGCCGTTTTTATTTGCATTCCTCTCTGCAGTACACGGTATCTGTCATAATAAATTAAAGTAATTGAAGGGATTTAGTTCATATGTATGTACCTATATCATGTTACATGGATTGGCTGACCACATGTCACCCTCAGCACACATCAATAAGACCCGAAGTGTATAATATTTATTTTGAGTTCACGGTTATATTTGCCTCCGGCTGCTTGGAGACAAAACGTCCACGATGATACAAAGTTACCCTCATTCGGTGTCACTCCTCTGCTGTTATTTACGCTCCAATTCACATTCTCGTAAAAAATAGGGGAAAAAAACTTGGAAACATAATACATGTTTCAGTGCAGTAGCCTATCACTTCTCAGCTCTGACCAATTTACGGAGTTGTCGACTGCGCCCAATTTGCGTCTCGAAGAAAGCGGCAAAGCTGTAGAAATCCTCTGAAATGGGACAGCAAATTGCATTTTCAACTATTTATCTAGTGATACACTAACACCTTTTTGATATCTGGAGTGATCGATATATGTCTTTGACGAGGCTTTTAGAGTAGAGTAGACTTAAGCGGTTTTCAGATTGGAGCGAGAAATTGCCTTCGATAGGTTTTAAATTATAGACTCGTTTTGACGATGTTGATGCCTAGAGCGCCCTCTGTTGACGTAAATGCTGCCCGCTATTGATTCTGATGATAAATTGGCATGCAATATTTAAATACGTTTGCGCATTTTGAAAAGAAGAAAAAGAATTCACTGTGTAATGTGTATTGCACTATATTTTCGTTCTAGCAATTTCAATGAAAATATTTCAAGCTAAGTTTATGTTCTAAAAGCTTGAGTTAGTCACTGTTTTTGGTGCTTGGAAGTTAGCTTTTAATAAAAATTGTGAATTGGAGGTCAAACTTTTGACCGAGTTTGGCTCTTTTTAATATAACTCAGCTGATTCATTCTGAAAAAAAAGCAGTCTTATTAAAAGATTAAACCGCTGCGGGGAAGACAGCATGGGAGGATATAAACTGTTGAAGATGAGCACAAATCCGAAAACATCCTTGAGGGCGGATACTCGTGTTACAAGATGAAATGAGAATCTTGGAGGAGTTTGTTTTGCTTGGCTTAAGAATTGGGACGGTGTGTAACCGAGGAAAATGGCGCACGCTTTCAGAAACAGATTAGGAGTGGTTCATTTTTGATTCAGTTTAAGAAGAATTGAAGAAAAAAACACCCATCATGATTAATTTGCAATTAAATAATTTTTAACGTTTAACATTTTATTTCGAGTTTTATATTTATAATAATCTTTCAATTATTTAAACATCTGGAGGGAAGTAATTCTTATGTTTGCTTGAATACAGTAAAATGAATCCACCCTTTTTCATATTTTATTTCAATTATGGTTTCAAGAGAATATGAGTGAATTTAATTTCAATTAATAATATCAGACTCTTCACATAGTTATCCGGATATGTGAAAAGTGCAGCCACAAAGAACGGCTTATATAGCTTATTATACAACACCTGAATAAATCCCCGTCATCTGATTGGTGAATTGTAGATCATGTGACATATTATTATTCGGTATAATGCACGGTGCGACCATGCGTTATACCCATGCGTTATACCGTTTCACTTTGCGCTTGTTCCATGACGCGGTATTTGCGTGCAAAATGCATGCTGGTGTGCGCGTTCAGCGTAGCGCGTATTGTTCCAAAGAGCCAGCCTTCCAGCGTTGGGTTCAAACATTTTCGTGAAGGGGTAGTTCAACATCTTTAAAATCAAAGCAAATTGTAGTTTATAATTTACCAATCAAATGACGAGAATTTATTCAGGTGTTGTATAAAACAAATAACGAATGTTTTACGTTCGTGCGATGGAAAGAATAATTTCATTCGGTGATTGAATGTTCTATTCCACTCGGCTTCGCCTCGTGGAATAGAACATTCAATCTGTCACCTCATGAAATTATTCTTACCATCGCACTCACAAACATTCGTTATTTGTATACTAGGCTTTATTAAGGGAATAAATGTGTGCTCCGGAGGTTTTTATCACTCTGTTTAATACCACTTAGAGTCTGGGTGCTGATAATTACCCGAGCCGGAGGCGAGGGTAATTATCAGCACCCAGACTCTAAGTGGTATTAAACAGAGTGATAAATACCGACGGAGTACATATTTATTCCCATTCATAAATACCTTTTCGGTAAACAAAAATCATATAATTCGTTCAAAACATCCCGATTTTGTTCAACAAATTCACTTTATGCTTTTTGAAACATCCCTCCTGCAAAATAATGGAGTGTTCAGCTGGCGAGTAAGATGAAAACAACCCTTTTATGGAGATTGACGCGCGCGTATCATGTTCTACGCGATGTCGCGCAGAACGCACCTGGCGCGTTGCGTTTTGAATTTAGAACTATAAAATTCTAACTCCCTGGTAGTGTTGCGCATGCCTACGTGAGGATTGTGAACGTTCAACCAATGAAACGATAAGAGGCACTGGATTTTTAGGAGTCCATATTTTATTGTGACACTGGAAAAGTGTTTAAGACCAGCTAGCCATGTCTTTATCATCCGTTTAATACCGGCCACGTGACGGGCTCTCGACCAATAGGAATGGCTAAACTGTCTGAGGTATTTATGAATAGCTTTTACCTGAGACCGCACTAAAGTGAATTAATTAAAAATGATTTTGGCGCATCGAGTTCTTTGAAGATGCCGACATTGAAGGATCCCGATATCCAATATCTCTTCATTTAGAGTGAAGGGGTTAGATATTGAAAATGATATTCCAGTATGCCAAATGGATAGAGATGAATAGCCATCCAAGATGAAAATGAACAGAACACAATGGAAAGTATATGGTATATGGTATATTTTATCTACATTATCACATTGTAACCCGAAGGTCAAATTGCATGATAATTTAGAATATTAAAAACATTAAAATCACAGTAAACATAATTAAACAAGTTAAGAAAAACCCATACAGGTTGGTTGAGAATCTAAAAAAAATAAAATTAGTACATTGCACATACCTGTAGATTTGTCTGCCTCAAATCTTTGGAAAAAAATTAAAAAGCTGCTCACAGAGAATACTTATTTAGATAACTGGTAAAAGTTAACACGGGCTGTTTTGTTATTAATCAAAATGCGAGTAATAATCTTGACCTTGAACGACAATTCTATGAGTGGGCTGCAATCAATTATATTTAAATTTGAGATCGCTGTACATTTTAGAGCAAAGAAGGACTAGAGATCTGTTAAAATGATCTGTTTAAAAAGGAAGAAAATATTTGTTTTCAAGACCTTTCTTTGTCCATCCCCATTGTTAGTGGCTGAAGCTGATTAGTACCTGTACCATTACAGTGACCATTATCTGAGGGAAGATAATAATAATAATACACGTATCTATACCAACAGGTACTAAAGGCGCTGATAATATATGTCTATTTCCAAAGACAGGTATTTTTAAGATACAGGTGAATCCTACCCCCACCCCACCCCCCCCCCCCAAAAAAAGGTATCATTTGGGGGAAATTCGTTTTAGGTTGAGATTTGCAAGGCTACTCGACCGTTTCCTGCTAGCCGTATCGGCCCGGCGCCTTGGGCGGCAATCGAGCCTGCTTTTTGCTGCTTATGCGCAACTTGTGAGACCGTAAAACCAGACTAATTGGTCGCACTGCACATTGCTGCCTTTTTCACACGCGCTTTGATTTCTTTTGGGAAAAGACAGTGCAACTGTTTGAGGTCAAATTGAATCGACGCAAGGTTTTTGGAAGTAAATACCAAAAATGAAAGTGAAGCACAGCCAATATTGTTAGATGATAGACTGATGTTTTTGGTTGATATAGGCCTAATACAGTGCGTCAAATCTTGTCTAATGCCAATGTGACACAACGTTGATTTCTTGAAAAGTGGGTCAACATTTCGATCATGATACCGAATAGAAATTTAAACGGAAGGCAACTTCATGGCAACGATACATTTCATTTCCCTGTAAAGTTAAAAATGAATGCAAGAAGCGGTCGTTAGAAATTTAAGATCAACTTGTTGCGCGCACCGCACTTGAAAGATGAAATGGGATTACCGGCGGCCATATTGAAATATCCTCATATATATATATATTTTTTTAATGTTCAGTACATTATTAAATTGCCAGGCTGGCTGTCTATTGTATTATACGTGGCGTTACTGTGAAAATCACCGATGTCTTTAAATAATTTGCTCAAAACATTTTTTTTTTTTAACGCGCATTACGCAGCATCGCCATCAAGACTCAACTTAACTCGACTCAGTCTACAGGTCATTAGCAATAGCGCCCTCTTGTGAGACCACAACAATTAATAGTTACACAAGTACCCCGCCCTTTTTCCCTTCAATTTCCCTTCAATTTCCCATTCCTTCTTTCACCCGCTTACAATCTCCTTAGGTCTGCTCCAAATCCTCTGATCATGTCTCAAACTCCGCACATTTTCTTTTGTACTTACACAATTTTATTTTTTTTGGCAAATGTACGCAGTAAAGCAAAATATGCACTCAAGACAAAAAGACTCACAAATTGTTCATTTTCATCAGTTTTTTTAATTCCACTCAAGTTAGCAACAGCTCTCAAAATTAAACACGAGAACAAGTCTTAGCACGCAGAAGGAAAAGACTAGAAGGAAAAGTCTTCACTTAAGTGTTCTTTTCTATTTTAGAGAGATTTGATATGAAACCAAGTTATAGATATTACAAAGGTTCAAATTAGAAGAAAATTGAATAAAGCTGGATTGATCTTAAGGTTGTTCTTTTATAGACCTTTCTTAAAATGATATTCTTTTTTTATATTTCTAACACCATACTTATACTTATCAGATTACTATGAAGATCCTCTGTGTTAATAGTTAAAACGACCAGCCATCAAAAGTTTGATTCCAAATTTTGTCGATTGCCCATACACCAAATCTAAACAATTAATTCTCATTCCAACATGATTCTGGACTCTACTTCGAGTCCACAACCATACCAAACATTAAGTATTGCCAATCATAATCAATCACATCACTACAATGATTTGTAATGCTCCAAATCAGCTCTTCATAAAAAATATAAAATATTTGTTTACAGTATTTACATTTCTGAACAGGTTGTTTTACATATATACAAATCAAACTAGCCTATTACATAGGCTCCTTGCTAGCAAGCCTACATGGCATTTCACCTGTTCTGTCTATATTAGAAATCCAAATCAGTTGAAGTACACATTACATCAGTGCTACTAATTAGCAATCATTAAACTGGAGCATCAATCGAAAGACAGTTTACTTTAAAAGTGAAAGCACTACTTTTTTTACTCAATTCCCAGGAAAAGTCTTTATCTTTAAATCAACAATGTGTCTTTTTTACCTCTTCTTAGCTTTCTAAACTCCATTTGAATCAAAACAGTTCAGTAACAGGTTTGTCATTCGGTAAAGACTATCAACTGTTAATTTCAAACCAGTTTAGTTTTCAATTGTCTTAGAACCTCTGCATGCAAGTCTAGGGTTACTCTGGGTATCACCTGTTGTCCAACGGAGCAATGTCTAATATATCAAAGCATGCAAATTTATCCGAACACGATCGCCAGCCAATCGGAGTTGGCTTTACAAAATCGTGGTCTATTGATTGGTCAATTTGGATGCAATGTTTTTGTAATACAACATGAACAACGGGCATAGAGATCTAATAAAACCTAGACCCGACATTTCCTCTCAAAACTGTTAGCAAAATACTGCGCGTATAGATTACGCAAACGCTCATCGTGGGCGTGACGTGACGTGCAAGAGGGCATTCGCATTACGCTTGTTATTTAAAATGTGATGATCATTCGAAGCCACAGGATGTTCGCGCATCGCGTAATGTATCATTACATACAGGCCATGTGACGCAGCCTATTTAGGCTCAATTCACAACGTAAAAGTATAATACATGTCGTGTCTAGGTTTTATTTATAGATGTGTATCACAACCGGTAACCAAAGACATGATATACAAGGCGCCCGCTGAATGGTCAGAATCTCGAGGTCAAAACAGTCTTGTTTTGCATAATTAAATAGTTATAAATAGTTTATACTGTGTATTACAGTCCATGCATTTATATACAGCATGCTTTTTTTTCTGTTTAGCATATTCCCAATGTATTTAGCAACAGTTACTGTTAGATAAATATCATGGTTTTAAAATAGAATTTGGGTTTTTGACAAGTCAACCCAACTGTGTTATGATCTAGTTATGTTTCAAAGAGACAATGCAATGTTAACTTTGTACCATTCATGAGTAATTTTGATTTGTTACCTCAGACAATTTTGTTACAATTGGCTGGCCATACCATCATGTCAGAGGTCAATAGACCATTACATTAAGCCCAACCCACTGCACTCATGGGTAACAACACCTGCACTTCTGAAATGACACACTAATTGTTCCTGCCACGCAGGTCATGCAAGTACACGCATGTGGGAGTTTCATTAGACATTTGGTCAAGCAATCACAGCTGTGATTGGTCGAATCATCAGGAGGCGGGGCTTAATGGGTCGGTCTATTCAGCTGAACAAAGGATCAGATAATGTATGCGGACGTGTGTCAAAGGTTACATAAGGACCATAGAGTTGTCCATAGTCTCCTAAAGTTCAGTTTTCATCCTCACACAGTTGAATTTGTTGGTCAGTTTGGCTGTAGTTGGTGCGAATGGGTGACACTGCTATGTTAAAGTTTAAGCAGTAGACTTGCCCAGTCCTTCAGTGTTTGACATAGTTCCTGGCCTCCAGTTGCCTGGCTCCGTCAGGCGAGGGCGACATTGGTAGGCCGCTGAGTGGGTTATGAACCATTCTCTGCTTCAGCATGGTCCAGTCAAACGTACAGTCGTACTGGTGGTTCAGTTTACGGAACAGAACACGAAACAGCTGCCGTAGGAACATGTAATTCGGCGCTTCATCAAAGCCCAGATCTCGACAGTAGCGTAGGTAGTGTGAAAACTCTTCTGGAAAGCCCTGTCAGACCGAAAAAGTGAAGAAAAAATGTGATTTTACAAATTCCAGATCTGAGACTAGTCCGAGTATCACCCGTTGGACAACGGAGCCCTCTCTGTAACCAATGTCTGATATATCTGAGCAGCCAATCGGAGTCGACTTTAGAAAATTGTGACATCATTTTGATCAGAAATGTGGACTAAGCTGTTGGTTGGTCAATTTGGCTGACATGTTTTTGTAATACAACAATGGGTTACGGAAGACCTGATAGAAGGCCCCTGCTGAATGGTCAGAATCTTGAGGTCAAGACGCGGTCGTTTTGCATAATTAATCGCCGAATCTACTCGCATATCATAGACTAGTCTGAGACCCAGACAGACACAGCAAAAGAACGGACTGAATAAGTCCACTTGGACAAGACTGCAAAAATAGGTTCATTCCAATCTGGACTTGACCTCTGGCTTGATAGTAGACTTGATTTCGTTTTCATAAGTTGTTCTTCAATCATCACAAGTCCATCACAAATCATCCAGTTATTAACTCACAGGCTATTACAATGACCTGTGAAAAAGGCGGGCCTTTGCTGTTGTTTTTCCCCAGTTACCTGAGAATGGACTTGTGATGGACTCAATTATGACACTGTTGATTGTGGTGAAGGATGAGGTACAAAGATAGGTTTAAGGATAGGTGTGAGGGTTCGTGGGTCTCCACAAGGGTGTTTGGGATTGGGTGGGGGTTTAAGAGGCTCTGGGCACGTCTCACCTGACACAAGACCTCTGGAGGTGTTGCTAGCTTCTTCTCACTGATCTTCTCATATTTCTGTTTCTTGGTGACAGCGTGAAGACCCTGCCAAGGAAGCTGAGCCCGATTCAGATACATCAAGACGTAGCCTAATGACTCCAGATCATCGCGACGACTTAAGGTAAGAGAGAAAAAAACGGCAAGATGTTTGTTAATACAACATATATCAAATGTCACTGTCTTACCAAAAATTGTGTTGCAACACACCTCTCACTGATTCTTCATCCATCTTAAAGATTGTCATTTGAGGTTTACCTATGGGCCCTGTCACAAATCCACTGAGTATTGTAAGTCTTATTACTAGGGAGATGACAGTTTGGCAATACAGATTTCATTGAGTCACACTGATCAGAATTATTGAGGGACCAGAGCACATCTATACCTGTTCTTCAGGTCTGTGTTTGATCAAATGAAAGCTTAATGTGCTCCAAGTGTCCTGGAAACGGGCCTTTTCCAAACCAACTTTTGGATGAATAACCCTACCACTTAACCCAATACTTATTAGTCACTGTAGCACCTGAAACCGTCGGAGCACTTAGTGGTTTCATCAATGAGTAAATGTAATACAATGTAATACAAGGTAATACAAAGTAATACAATGTAATACAGTTGCCAATGGGTTAAGGTGAGATCATTCAAGAACATTAATAATCCCACCCAGTAATGTCCTTTTAAACCACCAAGTGGAATTTGAAAGATCTTGGAAGTTGAGGGTTAAATCTGTGCATTTCTTGATTACCTCTGCTCGATTCCTAGATGGGCATTGATGCTGGCGTATCTGGCTGTCCCTGTGAGATTCTTATGCTCCCTGTACGGGATATGCTGTCGCGTTTTACTGTCGCGGTACTTCTTGGCAAGACCAAAATCTATCAGAAACACCTGTAGAGCCAACGAATGATTGAGACAATTATAACAGTCTTCCAAAAAGTTATCTCAAAATAAGGATGGACGTTGGTTTACTAAGCTTGGTTTTTCGATAGCCTGAATTTACCACTCCACTTACCTGATTGCAACGTTTCCCGATGCCCATTAAGAAATTGTCCGGTTTGATATCACGGTGGATGAAGTTCCTGTTATGAACATACTCTATTCGACTGATTGTCTGAAAAGATATGGTGGGGAAAAAATGACAGTTTTGGTATAAAACTCACACGTATAAAACTCACACATGAGAAGTGAAAGCCATTCAAAGTCTTATTACTTATGCAAATTGTTGACTCCTTAATTCAATAACTGACCTGGTCAGCTAGCATGAGAACAGTCTTCATTGTGAATCTCCGACTGCAGAACATGAAGAGATCCTCGATGCTGGGACCCAGGAGTTCCATGACAAGAACATTGTAAGCCTTCTCCTGACCATACCATCTAGATTTATAAACCAAAATAGAAGTCAAATCACGTGTTGACACTCGAAACAGGTTCACCTACTGAGCCTACTTTCCCTACCCGGCATCCTGAGCCAAACCCAACCCCAAACCGATCCAACAGTCTTCCTGACTATCCTCCAACTAATCACAAATCCATCCCAACCAACCCCTATCCGTCCCTCACCCACACTATATACCTATCCCCAACCTTTCCCTTAACCAACCCCAGCCCACTCCCCCCCCCCCCCAATAATGCATCCATCCCTCATCCAACCCACCCACTCTTCACTGATGCCCCGAATGTACCCCACCCATCCCCCTACCCGTCCCCACCCATGGGCGTCGCCAGGATTTTTTCTAGGGGGGGGGGGGGGGGGCAAAGCACATATTTTCCTCCCAAATCCCTATAATTTCCAGCATTTTCTGGATTTATCATTTTTTCGAGGGTGGGCAGGGACATTTGCCCCCCACCCATTAAATTAACAACTATATGACTTCGCGCCTCTTTCTTTTTTTCTCTCTCTCTCTTTTTTTTTTTTTTTTTTTGCTTGTCCAAGAGGGGCCTTGCGACGCCCATGTCCCCACCCCCAACCCACACCAATTCGCCCATCCCCTCTACTATCAACCACCAATGCCCCAAATCTCCCCGCCCATCTCAAAACCCATCTCCCACCCACCCTCATCCATCTCCTTACCCATCCCCAGCCATCTACCCATCCATCCCTTCACCCCCGCCCCCCAACCAATCAACACCTCACTCACTCCACACCCCTTCCCCACCCACCCCACCCCATCCCTTACATGCAGATTCTGGTTATCATCACCTTATTCTAGGAATGCCTGCACCTCCTTGTAGTATCTTGTAGAGTTTGCTCTCATACAGCAACTGTGGATGCCTGGCATTCTTGGGCTCAAGCTTCACAGCCACTTCCTGTACACAAGCAATGCAATTAATTAGAATGAATTTGAACATTTTGAATGAATGTAAACAATTTGGAGAATTGATAAACAGACCATGGCTAGCACCATGGGAGATTTATATGTCACTCTTTGTCCACTATCCACTCCCCCCCCCCCCCTCCCCACTGAACATCATCCTCTCATTCTTGTCGGTCACCTCCTCCAACCTCCATATTTTCACTAGCCCTACTTTAATTGGTTCATCATTCATGAGTCACTGTCAACAAAAGGCCTTAATTTAGCAACCAACAAATAAATCACAAACAAGACAGATGTGGTTGGAGGGGAAAAGGGGGCCCAGGGTGTGTTGGTGTGGGGTGGGGTGGGGGTGGGGGGGGGGGGGGGGGGGGGGGGCAAGGGGGGGGGGGGGGGGTGAGGCAGGGAGTGGTGCCAAACAATTGAACATGTCATTGATGGGTGGGTGGGGCATGCCAACAAACGTCCAACCAACCAACGTCCAAAAGCCGAGAAAACAGGAAAATGAAGTTACACCTGAAATCCTACAATCAGCAACCAAGTGCGGATATTTCTATGATTGATCTAATTAATTTCACTCCTGTAAAATAACATTACCTCCCCAGTTGTCAAATCGACACCGAGATAAATATCGCCAAACGATCCACTGCCGATCTTCTTGACCAAGCTGTACGTTCCAGACGCCACCGTATATTCATACTTCTGTCCTCTGCCGCTAGACATGGCTCATGAAAGACACTTTACACCTCCCCCTACATCCAACTAACATCATCGAGCCGTTTAAGATGATTTGAAAGTCCAGTCTATATTCATTTGCGGTGAAATTCTTCGAGATTGTCTGCGGAGGATGGCATAGTGTTCACTCGTCTTCCATTTCTGAAGAGTTGCTGGTACCCCGTTGCGCCATAGTCTGGTTTTTGAATAGTAGTCATAACGTACACCAGCGATATGATTTTGACATGAATGAATGATCATGCTTTTCATGCATCGCTCAACAACACGTACGCAGCAGGCAAACGGCCTCGGTACTCATTAGTAACCAGGCTTCATTGATCGAATAGTTTCGGGCAACACCCACATTTCATCATGCGAAAAGCTTTCAAAAGCCTGTTTTTTTAATTCGTGTTTGAAAGCCTAGTTTTATTCAAATGGTTCGTGTTCAGCTCATTTTAGCTTACTTAGCAGGATATGTTTTTCCTCATCAGAATTTTAGTATGATCACCATCCTGCACCACATCATTTCATCTTGGACATCATCATCACTATCACATGACGACCTCACATCATAATCATTAACTCAAACCAAACTGACTTCACTTTAAAAACAGAATTCACTTCATCAATGATAACACAACTTATGTTTGTTTTGCTTCGTTTTATTCAATTAAAAAAAAGTAGTTAATAAAAAATTAGGGTACATGCAATAATAAAATTGATAAATTTAAACATCATATATTCCTATAATACATGTACATGGCTCTTGATAAATATTAGCATTTCCCTAATAATCACTTACTGTTTTGGAAAATAAATATTTTATTGGTGCTAAGGCAATTATTTCTTGGTACAGGAAATTCCTAAAATTCATTTTATAAATTCACAATGATAGTGTCTGATATGAACCCGAGTTGTCTGAAGCCTTTGCAAATATAGTCAATGTGGTGATTCATCCTTTCCAGACCGAGTTAACCTCTGATATTTCATCACAATAACCTCGGCTCATTCATAAAAACTGGGACCTTTGCCAACCAAACACAACCGACGATCGGTGGTGCAATTCCAACCAGAATTTCTGCCTGACTGCTCCCTTGTAGGAGACTATACAAACAAAAATATAATACAATTTTTTTATGAGTTGAATAGTTTCTAGTTCTGCCAGCTGGTTTGGCATTAATTCACCAACAGTTGCCACATGGTGGCGCACTTCAAAAGTTACGGGAACGGTTTTTACAAGTCCAAGTCCACTCTTCCATGTTGGCCGGAATAAGACAACCATAGAATAAGAAGTTCCGATTAAAAAAAATCAATATCACATTAAATTTTCACATTTCAGTCTGTACTTCAGTCAAACGTTAAAGAGACACAAAATGACAACCTTTTAAAAACAGGTTTGGGGTACAAGAAGGACACGACATAAACTACAAAAAAAAAGACATAAACTACAAAAAAACAACACGTCGGATTTTTTTTTACATCATACTTACTCGATTGTATCACTTTGAACATCAATTACAATTTTTCAATCTTGGCCCTGCACATTAGGACGAGCTACCAACATTGCATGTAATTAAACTAATGTTAATAATGTGCTGATATTACTTTCAATAGTTCATTCTTTTTTTACACTAAAAAGTATTCGACATTAGTTAATTCATTTTGCAAGATAGGACATTAAAAACGTTTCATTCATTTTTGTAAAACATAAAATTAACTGACACCAAAATTAAATTTCAAAAGTCAGCAGCTAGATAAGCAAAAGAACACCGATTTACTTTAGAAAAAAATAGCAACTGCGAGTTTAAAAACTCATTTTTTATTTCAGTAGTCTCTCTCCTCGGGCTCTCTGTACTCCAAACCAAGATGTCTGAATATGTCCTCCTCACACGTGACCGGAAGGGGCGTGCCCTCGTGAACTTTGACCTGACCGTGCCTGATGACGCCAGTCCGCAGCGCATGCTCAGAGAGCGACATCCCCTGGATCAGGAGGAAACCAAGGCCGGGAAATAAAATCGGTCAGTGAGGTTTTTCTTGCATTAAAGTGAAAGTAAATTTATAAAAACTTTGTTTCATTCAAGTCAGTTCAATAGTCTATAAAGTTATTAATGCAAAATAAAATAGGATGAATAAAGTCCATTTTAAGGTTAACCTTTGTGTTAGAGCTTATCCAATCCAAACAGAAGCCGATAAGCCTTAGAACTAAAGCATTATCTCGTTAAGTATCTCGGACTACTTCGCAGCATATGGGACAAAAAGGAATGTCTGAAATGATGGAAAGTTTTTCTCAAGGAAGTTAGGTTTACAAACCTTTTTCTTGGCCAGTAGTCGGATGGATCGGTTGAAATGACCGGAGCCAGTGAAGTGCATGAGGGCGCAGTAGTACTGACTGTAAGGAGCTACAATGATATCCAGACGTCGGTACTGTGCACAAAAGAAATATAATGAAAAGTTGATATGAACGGACTTGAAAATATCTCTCAAACTGATTAATTTTGTATCTTCCTTGGTTTAGGTTTAATGTGCCATCGATGTTGACATCCTTGTGCTCATCGTTATTTCTTAAAAAAAAAAAAAAAAAGGTTTAAATGATGTTCATTTGACACAGAAATCATGATAAAGGAAAAATCCTCTCCTTCTAAAAAATGATTTTTCTTTCAGCAAATTAGTTCATTTCAACCAAGTGCACTGAAAAGAGAAAATGACTTTGCACTGCAAATCCGAAAAACAAAAATCTATAACGTCTTAGATTAATGGGTAAAGGCCAGTTTAAAGGTGGGTTGAATGCGAATGCAAAATTGCGACGTCACGGCAAGAATTCCGGCCGCGAATTCACAAAGAGTTTAACAATTAACAGCGGATGTTTCGTAACGTCCAATTAGCGTCGCATTCGCCTTGGCATGAAGCATGAACTATTTTTAAGTCTTAAGACCTTGTGATTTTCTCCCGGGAGTTTGCAGACGCCCATGTATTTCTTCTGCTCCTCTTCGTCATCTCCCTGTCTCACTAGGTCATCGGTGATAAAACCTACAAACAAACAAACAAAAACAGGTGAAACAACAAACTAACTATGCAGAAAATGAACAAACAACTACACTCTAAAATACTCCCGTTATTGGACTATAGAAAATTAGAAGACTATAGGTGTTTTAAAGTATTTATAGATTTTGTTACAAAAATCATATGTGGATGATTTATTTTATTATTTTTGTTAGGTATAATGAAGAATTTCTTTTGACGTTTTGTCACATGTGGTATGAGATAATTTCACACTCTCTCGAATCATAACAAAAGCGTAACCACTGTGAACGTCGGTTGTATATACTTGTACATCATTCCGTAGAACAATAAATAACATCTGTTATTGTCATTGTTCGGATATACGTAAGTGGCTTGCGAATACCGTTCGATCATCCGATATCCGGTCAGACTTGAACCTTGTGTTTGTGATGTTTGCATGGTTCGTGCATGGTTTCTCTTAGGTTTCCTCTATCTGGGGTACTTGAATGTCGCGCAGGCTTAGTAAATGTCGTATTAACGAGATTTGAGAAATTCAGGCAATACACGCAGGCCATCAATGTACACGATGCATCTAAAGGGGTTCGAACCAGGGTCACTAGAATCTGAAGGCGATAAAAGAACCTATTCGCCAAGTTAAAACCGACCATGGGCACTTTGTGCGGTTTGACTGGCAAGTTTCAACCACTCTTATGGTAAATAGCTTAGCAACCAACATAGTAACGACGCGGAGGGGTCTTTCTTTTGCAAGTTTAGCCTCACTTTAGATCCAAGATGGCGGTTTCCCAAAAAGAGCGCCCTCGTTTATTGTCTTGGGCTTGCATTAGCTCCTATATCCAATCCTCACTATAACAATGACACCCTATGAAGTTTCATGACGTCTTATCAGTTTTCATCTATAACATGTTCATGTCTAGTCTATGTTTATACCAAGTATCAACCCAGTTGAACCTGTAGTTGTGTAGATATAGGGCTTCAAAATATGCACCTTTAATGTGATGTAACTTGACACCTGTTGACGTCATCATGACGTCACATCAATTTTCATCTTAACATGTCCCTGGCTGTGTTCGTTATTTTGTTCAAACCACACGTCATCATTTTTTAATATTAACCTGCGGCTATCAACAGTTGATCAACGAAATCGTGAGTTTTCCCGATAAACACTCCGATTTCCCGCGTATCGCCAGATCCGGCTTTGACCGAGTCTTACGAAGTAAGGGGCGAGAATCGTGATTCTGCATACATGAGACTTTCGTTTGACAAAGCTCTGGCGGTAGCTTTAGATATATGTCACGGAGGTTTCCTGGCTCAGGTATCAGGCTTTTCAATGTTCAACCGGAAGAAGGGTGAAGGACGTCCTAGTACGTGCAAATCCTGTTCAGATTACACGTGCGTAACCTCATAGGTAAATATTTTGTGGAGTTTGCTATGGTGCATGCATGGTATACATCCGTTAAGAAGTTTATGGGTTTTTTGTTCAGTAAAATGTTTAGTGGGATCAGTTCAAACTTTTAGTTAGACGAAAGGATTTTAATGATAACTGACAGTTGATAATCATGAACTATTAAACTTTTCTTTTTTCTTATCGCTTATTGAAGAAAAAGTATTGTAACATTTGCCTTTGTTTTTAGATACGTTTTTTATTAATTTCACAGTAAAAGTTCATAAAATTTTAAAAAAAAATAGCAAAATAATATGTAAAAAGAATAGGAATTTTAAAACCATATAAACAAATCATTTAAAGGAGAACAAAAAAGTCATTTGTGCAAATACACGTACACCAACAAAATTCCAAGTCAGTAACAAAATATTAATGGCGGCTTATGGAGTTTATTCTGATGACTCAATTTTCGACGTCATTTTGCAGCCGAGAACGTTCTATAGTGGTGTCGTTATAAGTGTTATCGTCAACAATGCACGTACTCACTACGCGTTGATAGACTCTGAATACAACCAATGGCTCCCGCGGGAAATCAAAACTATCATTTTCACATAAACATGATTTAAAAACATGGGACATGGAAACTCCCTCCTTAAAATCGCCTGGGTGTTTCATTGCGCAAGGGAACTTCTAGACTAAAAGCTACATGACGCACAAGGGATGATATTTCAAAAAAAACACCTGCAAATAAATATTCCATCTTTTGGCGCGAAAACAGGATGGATACGATTTTTTATGAACCGAGTTCTATGAATTCGGTAACTTTAATATCTAATTCAATACTACCAAATTCAAGTCATGTTAAAGTCAGTTACGTCAAGTCACACTGGACTTTCTTCATGATGCAGTTGCTCATGCATCGTGTCATGCTTCTCATCCTCTTTCAACGATACAATGTTCCCCTCTCAAAGGTTTAGGCATTCTCCTGAAGACGGTCAGGTCCTACTGACTGAAACGTTGAGTTTAAGCCTCTGCTTCTTCTCAGGAGTGGAAACATGCCCTGGATCCTTCAAGGATGTAAAAGTGTTTACGGAAGTTTAAAAAACAAGCCAATACATGTATCTATGACCCCAATAGAGTCGGAAACCAAACCAGGAAGTCTCGGAAACAAAAGGCTTAACAAAATAACAGCTAGCCCTGTAATTGTCTGCGATTTTATGCGGCACAAAATTCAGACTTGTCGCTCCATAGTAATGCTATCAAAGATACTGAGAAGTCACAAAAAAACTAAGAGATGCAAAGTTAATAATTATTTTGGAAAATTGGTAATTAAAAGAAAACATGACTGTGCCGCGGCTGTTTTTGTGAATGTGATTAGTGACGTAGGCAATCTTGGTTCAGAAATAGGTCCACAGACGTCGACACCCCTCCGGCGATAGTCTGCCATGAAAGAGAAGACAGAAGCCTTCTTCTTTGAGTGAGTTACCTTCGAGTCTAGACGTCAGTCTTGAAGACTCTCTATTGTGCAGTGCTGGTCAACAAACGCAAAGTCTAGCGCTTGACATCTTTACGAGCTACGTGCGCTTGCATGCGACAGTGGCTGGAATACAAGACCACAAGAAAAGATTTTGTGCGACGGTTGAAATTCTGTCAACTAAAAAAAATGGCGGTTCTGGTTACGTCACGAAGATGATGACATAATGGTTAACAATGAAGGGTTAATGAAATCATCTAGTCATTCTTCCTGTATGATTTCATTAATGCTGCTTGCTTTTTAATTTGAGTGGGAACTTGGTGTACATTTTTATACATAGTTTTGCCCTTTGCCGACGAATTTGTATTAATGCCCAAAGGCTTGTGGTTTCATTATCGTTGCTTGTTTGTGTTTACTTTTGGTTTTAAAGTGTTTGTGCATGAATTCTTTTGGAGGGAGCGGGAATGAGTAATTAGTTGAGGGAGGGAGTTTCGATTTGTATCATCAAACCGTTTTACGAGGTTTTGTAGTGGATGATATTTTCAATAACGGTCTCTGGTGACTCATATAAGGAGTAAAGTGGTGAAAGAGGATCACGTCTGGAAAAAAAATCAAGAATTTGGGAAAAACTCGTAACTAAATCAGTTTTATCTTACAAAAACTTTCATCTCTCAACTGAAGAAAAGAAACGGCTTAATTCTCAGCCCCCCCCCCCTTCCCAAAAATAAAATAAGGAGTAGAATTTTATGATAGAGAATTAATCAGTAAGCTTTCCTTCGAATTCCAAAGAAAGACACAAGGGTCTTAATGACAATAGCCAACTAATCAAAGTTTACCACGTCCACTCCCCCCCCCTACTTCACCTCCACTTAATCTTCACCCCCTCATCAGTGAAGATGCAAGAAAATGGGCCTACAATACACAATAAATACACAAAAATAAACAACATATTTCTGTTTTCTGTAAGTTTATTATTAACTTATGGTCCGGCCATAAGCTTGAATACATCGCAATATTTCAAATAACATCAACAAGGATGAAGTATCAAATATTTATAGTGGAAAAGCATTGATCGAAATGTACCAATATTCACAATGATTTCAGCGCAAAGCTCGGTATGATCACGCATTATAAGCCAGAAACTTAAGCGAAAAGCTTTGCAGAATAATAAATAAATGCAATTGTGTACTTGTTCAGTTCGAAATTTACAAACACTGAAAGGAAATGTATGTGCCACAAACAAATGTTACAAAGAAAAACTTGTAAGCAAAATGTGATGCATACACAAATTTTATGACAAAGCAGATAGGCAAAGTTAAGGCATGAACCATTCAAGCACGAGGATTGAGTTTCGTACAACCAAATTTGGTTAAAAGTTGACACAAATTTACATCAGAATAAATATGACTCATTGTTATTTTTCTTTTGGCAGCCTTGCCAACTTTGCGACACAAAAAAGTCTGAACTTGATCAAATTTTGTAAACAGCAAAGAATGGATATTTGGGAGTTCTGTAAAGTCACTGTGCTGACGTCACCAATCACCATGGTAACTTGATGGCTCAATAAGTCAGTCATTCTTGGCGGGACAAAGGCTCCAGCGGCGCGTGACGTTCTAGATTAAGTCCAGGGTTGAATCATGGTTGAATTGATGACGTGACAGCTGAGCTGGTGATTGGGACTCGGTGCATGGTGGGTTGGAAAAGATGTAAATACAGTTCTAATGGACGGCTGTCCATAGATTTCTTTTGCAGATTTCAGGATGATTGTTAAGTTCGTACACAGTTTCTGTCTTTCACTCAAAGGCACTGTTCCATTTTATATATGGTCGAATTGGAAAAGGTATTTAGAGTCCCTTGATGCGTGTATTTCCATAACGACAGTTCTGGTGATGTTTTAGATTCTGTCGTGGTGTGCGGCTGTATGTCTGCAGTTGTGGAGGTTTTGGATTCTTCGGAGTGTTGCGTAGTCCAAGTCGGCGAGTGGGTTGGCTAAAGCATTGCGTCGCCGCTCGTAGTAGGCTGGGCACGGGCCGTTGGGGTAGAAACATGACTCTTCACCGTCACCTGATGATGCGTCATCGTCGCTGTCGTCGTGGTGACGAGATGTCATATCAGGCCGGTAGGTGCGGACCATGTCTGCCAGATGATGAA